AAAAGGAATTTAAAAAAGAAGACTGAAGTTGCCAACTTGGCGCTGCTGTAGCACTCCACTGACGCCCCGCTCCAGGAACCTAGGTCTAACCACTAAACCACGTGCATTGTAATAGCTGTTCTTTGCGAAAGCTGGGTTGGATTGTTGGTTGGTAGTTGGTTGGATTGTTTGGGGAATATCCTCATAGGATTGGATGATGGTTGTACCAGTAGAACAAAAATAAAGTGAAATTCCCCCATCAAGAGATGAGAAAGGTGTCCGGGTGCATCCCATGTGGTCTAGTGGTTAGGATTCGTGGCTTTCACCCACGCGGCCCGGGTTCGATTCCCGGCATGGGAAGTCATTTGGACAAGTCTGCGAAGTATCCTTTTGGCATTTGCAGCTCATGCTTGTCGTGAAGTACATTTCTAGTTTCACGAAAAGCCACTAGTTAGTAGTGACTGATGTTCTTGGTCATTTCTACACACCGGCGATGCTTGCGTAGGCAGTATACAAGTTACACTGCTGGGGTGAGCCGCATTGTACCTTGCTGTTGCGTCGCCTGCAAACCGAGTATTTTGTGACGAAGCTCGACACAGTGAAAATTTAACAGTGCAAAACTTAATCGTTGAAAAAAAAGAGCAGCATAGATAATCTATATAACTGTCTGTTGTAACTGTAGCGTCTGCAGCAAAAATCCGCCAACGCTTCGCAGCGTACGGTGTTCAAACACTCGATCTGAGTCAACATTGTTCAGAGAAATTTTCATGAGAAATTCTCCAATCTTGTTAGTTAAGATATTCAGAGGCAGTAAGAGTGATAAAAATACGGTTTTCTCAAATCTGTTCAAACTCTTGGCGGTAAGGATGGCGAGAAATCTTGCGATAAAAAATGTTAGGAGTTTACTTGCCGGCTTAAGGAAATACATTGGCAACTACTTTTTTTTGCTTTGTCGGTAAACAGTTCAGTTTCTGTCCTTCATTTCGTTCAGTTGACAGATTTGGTAATTTGACTACTGACGGTCAAAATACACTGGGACGCTTTGACCAAATCAGTAAAATAAGAATTTGCAAACTCATTGGCTTAGTATTTGCGACTGCGGCAACGATGACCAGACTTGAGTATTTCATGGTGCGTCTGTGGAAGATCTAGTAGTTTAAATGATTTTTATTTGATTTTCCTAGTTATTGCATTGGTTCTTCTTCTGACAAGCAACATGACAAAAGCTGAGCACTGCAGGCTGACTAGTGTCTTAGAAAGTGCAAACTTGATTTCACTTTATCGTCCAAGTTTCTTTCATTTCGGTGTTGACTGCGAGCTTTGTTGAAATAGAATTTATTTACAACTAGTATAAAAAAGAAACACGATCACTTCCACTCGTCCGGCAGCTTAAAATACCTGGTAGTAGTTTCAGATGCCAGGATGAAAAGCATCCTTCCTTTTTATCTGTGACTAGAAGTTATCATCCTTGGGTAACATTCTAGATTACTGTGGTCCAGAAATTAAAGTTAAATGCTAGCTTTTACTGTTATATTGCGCATGTTAACCTCAAACCAAATGCTGAGATTCTAAGAATGTGTTGGAATAAGCAAACGTTTTCAGATTTTGTTATCACTGTCAAATTCTTATGAATAACTTAAAATTAACTAAAGTATTCCAGCGAATCATAAAAAGGAGAATTGTGATTCTGTGTTACTGTCTCGACTGTCAGAGGAATTAAAAAGATTGACTAAAGTTTATCAGTTTATCCGGACAATTCATACAGAAGAAATGAGAATGAATTTGTTGTTCCGGTAACCATGAGAAACGCTCCAGCCTTTGATACAAATATTCAAAATTTTTTCTCGGACAAACCAAAAATGACTACTACTTTGACAAGTATCCGCAAAGGACTGACCATCATTGGTAACAGCAAGGCATTGATGCAATAAGAACTATAAGAGACTTTATTCAAAAACTAGAAAAATTTGCACTCAGTCATTTGTTAGATGACTCCTTGCATCTTTCAACCTGTTAAAGTGAATTTTTATCTCTCCGATGGGTTAATTGTCTCCAAATTTTGTCACATTATTTATCTTACCTTTTCCAAAAATTTGCATTGCCAAAATTTGTAGACCAATCCTAGATAGTAGTTTTTTTGGTTTAAACTTTTGACACCAGAAGGTACAAAAGTAATCTTATTATAAACATGTATTACTTTAAAGAAAGTATTAAAAATTTCAAACAAGCTCTAAGTACTGATTCCAAACTTAAAGTGTGGCCGAAACGACATGGTTTCTTACCTCTTCTCCTTCTCACTAAAATGAAGTCAATTTGTCTACTCAACTAAGTATCATTTTGGTTGAACTGTAACTGGGTTAATTTTTTCTTCAATACCAATCTAACAAACTTGGGATTTCTGTTTACTGCTTTCCATAATAAAGGTTATTTACCTGAGTCAATAGTTTTAAGCCAACTAATGGTTCGTACGTTTGAATAATTAGTGTCCGGTTCACAATTATAATTACTTTAAAAATGAAAGGTATTTGTTCTAAACCAAAGGATGATTGAAATTGTTTGACAATTTCTTCTAGATTTTTTCCAAGTAGGCATATTTTAAAACAAATTTAGCATTGAACTACGAGTTCCCAGCCAACTAGTTCCCCTAAATTTGTTAGAGGTTTCTATGAATAAACCCCACAAAACTACTTTAAATGGAATACTGTGGGAGGAAGGGAAGTCTCACCGCATGTGCTCTTTTTTCCCGTCAATGTTTCGAATTAGCAAGAAAAAAAAAGACAAATAAAATTAAAAAAAAGAAAATAGAAAAAATAAAATGGATGTTTGGGCTAAGTTTCAACCTTGATATTTATTTATCAAAGGAGTTGAGGCTGTTGCGATTGACAAGTTTTTAAAACGAGGAGGCGCTTACTGTAGCGTCTACGCACAACTCTCAAAGCACCTTTCATCCAATGTGGTTTCTACTGTAAGTAATAATTTGCCACTTATCAGCTTAAAGAACGAACCATTTTGATGGGGCTAGAATACAGTAACTCTACCAATCATCTTTTCGTGAGGGTGGCGAACGAATAAGCTTGGTGACTGATAACTTACTCAACAAGAAAAACCCACCTTTTATCGATATTTCTAGATAACAACAGACATTCCGCAGTGAGGAGCGTTATTTACAACTACTACCTGTCTTATTTAACTCTTCATTTTCCTAGCATTTGCCAATAATTACAACCGAACGAAAAAAGTAGATTTGGTTTAGTAAAAATGGGAAAGAAATCCCGAAGAGCACTCTTTCACTCCTCCGTGTATTCTCTAGTCACCAGGGTAATTTCAACCTAAATTAGAAGCAAGGAACGGTGTACACAACTTGAACTCAAGATAACACCATATAAATAAGAAGCAAGCAAATAGCCGGAATTTAAGAATATGGAAACCTACAACTACCGCTGAAGAAAACGGAGCATCTAAGGCGTATTGCTACGCTCAGCACGTCTTCCAAAAGAGGGCAGAGCGTTTCATGGTTCTGTGTTTTCTTCACCAAACTTCTTTGCTGTTTAAAGGGGATTTTTAGCTCTTTTCAAGACTTCAAATATAGTAAATTTAAGGTGCGATTAAATGAAAGGTTGGTGGTGAAAGCTGATTTCAAAGCAATGCAGTATTTTGTTTGTGACAATTATTTAAAGGAAAAGGGTCAAAGTGGCCAGTAAGGATGGACAAGAATACTGAGTTTTCATACACTGGGGAAGGTTGCAAGTAGACGCAGGAAGCCATTGCACTCAAAAATTCAACAAAAAGTGCTGTTTAGCTGCACTAAACACAAAAAAGATTATTCCGGTGAAACCTTAAAACCTTCTTGCAGCTTCCCAGAGCGGTTGTTTCGCACGGCCTCCATTCGTTTCCAGCTGAAATTTTTATTGGTTATAGCACTCTTACCTGTATTGAGGCAAATCGGTACCGGCACTTTTTATTAATGCATGTGACAGTGATAAATTTCATAATAGGAAATTCTACCACATGAAGAAATCCAATGAAAAACTTTGAAAGATGGGTTAAGCACCAAACCGCTTTCCTCGGCTTTCAAATCAGATTTTGATGAGAGTTGAAATTTAATTTCGTTGCTAGTACCTGTCGCTACACAAAAACTTCAGAAAACCGGCGTTTTTTGTTTCGCCCTGTTAGTCGCAGGAGAAAAGCTCCTACTCTGTTGCTTTTATAACGTTGATGACAAAAGTGAGACAGGAAACAGAAGAAGGAATTTGGTTAGTCTTTATGACAGTCGGGCTTGTAATTCTGGAGTCTGACTGTGACTCTTGACTCTGTGGTTGTATCCCTCCTTTACAACGCACAATGCCGTTTCATTCACATGCGAATAATCGTCTGTTACAGATTAAGTGAAGTCCCTCACGAAGAAGAAGACATTTTCAGTATGAAACATAAAAATAACAGCTATCTGCACTAAAGGTCCTTCGGACTCTGTCTTTTTCGGTTTTAGGGTTTTCTAATTTTTTTGTGTTATGTCTTTACTTCATCCTTTTATTCAAAAATGCAATCTCTGATTACACCTTATTTGTCTAATTAAAAATAATTTTACGCTCGCTTTTTAACTTTAAAGATGTAATTCTCATTCGCATTTTAATGCCAATGCCTTCTTCTATTTCAATGTCCGTTGAGGCGCAGCTGAACGTTTGGAAATTGCATACTAGTGGTTTCGTACACCTCAACAACTCGAATCCTTTATGGTGACACTTTAAAACTTGAAGTTTTGCCAATCTATCTATTCCTGATCGGTTCAATAACCAGTGCATAACCCAACATGCTTCATCAAGCACATGAGCATTTTTCAACATTACTGCGCCCATAAATCTTAACGCTGAGTAATACCAATTCTTTAATCTCATTTATATTCTGAAAAAAATCAAAACAAAAAATAAATCTTTATGCAGCGAATCAAGAAGTGCAGTGACTTGAAGGTCGCAACCGGCTCCACAGTGTAACTGCTTTCCGTAGTTCTGGTTTACTGACAATATTTAATATCCTAATATCGGTGCTAGCCATTTTTCTATTTCCTGAACACTTAATTTCTTCCTTAGCGCATAATCATTAACCTGAAACGGCTACGGTGATATGTTCTGTTCAGCGACATGAAATTAAAGAACCAAAGCAATTAAGTCTTACGTACTATAGAAATATCTTTTTCATCGAAAGTGAAATAATCAAACTGAAGAAGTAATTTTTCACGCCAACTACAAAAAAACCATACAAATCCAATATATTTTCGAGCAAAAGGTCATACGGCATTAAAATATGAGAGGACAAAGAGGGACAAAATTACCTGGTCCCTATCAATTTTCCCAACAGCAAAATACTGAGAGTCTGGATGTGAGAAGTAGAGAGCAGAAACGGACGATGCAGGATCCATGGCAAGACCTTCAGTTAACTGAAAAAATATTTCTAGGATTATAAGCAAAGCCATTCACAGCCCTTGAAACGAAGAAACAAGTTCCGTTACTCTAATCCCAGCCAATTCTTCAGCTTTCAACAAGTCCCACACAATTAGCTTTTCAGTATGGTCGGGCTGAGTAGGATATCCAGGCGCAGGTCGGATTCCGCAATAATTTAAGCTGATCATATCTGCAGGTGATATTTTTTCCTCGCTTGAGTAACCCCAAAACTCCCTTCGGACCTGAATGATTTTTTAACAAGTAGCCTGGATAGGTGTAGCGAGCGAGTTGGTACACTTGAGGGAATCATTAGTGTTTTCAACATCATTTTAAAATCAAGCTAATAAGAAACAGGCAATAATTCAAAGTAAAAATCAGTGTGCTCTTCACATATAACGGAAACGGAAAAAATACTTTCATATGCAAGTACTCCGATAAAGCTTCAGAAAGTCGGTCTGCCAGCGCTTTTATCTAAAAACTTTATATGTGCACCTGCTTCACAGAACCCGTTATAACAGACGTGGATACTAAATGATGAAGGAAATAACCATTTGCGAATGACAGATTATGAACATAATCAAGTTACCATTATGCTTTTGTAGTCATCATATTCTTTTTCGTATTTCTCGCAAAGTTCTTTCACTCCTATACCTGCAGTACAAGCCACCGCTCCGATATAGTCCGTTGGACAGGTGCCATCTCCAGGTGCAACAAAATCAGATATACAAAGACATGGCTGGCTCTCTGTCCTATCACTTTGCTGACGCAAGCCATGTAACCTGCGTAGAATTATAAGTTACGATTTTCTTCTATACTAATAAAAACTAACCAATTGAAATTTATTAATATTAAATCTACGTAGTAATCTAATAATCAGAACTTAAAATTCCTAATTACGTTGCACAATGCAATTTGGATTTCGGGTCAAATATAAATATATCGTCCCCGAAAGCTGAGCACGGGAAAAATCCCACTACAGCAGAAGCTTTTATAGTTTGGCCACGAACTATTGTTCCTAGCATTTCTTGCGCTTCCTGAAAGCTTTCTGTTAATAATATTAATAAAAATTCATAAATTCACCCAAGGTCTATTATCTTTCAGTTGGTTAATGCAGTGCCTACGAAAGATCACACACGTTAAAAAGTTTTAATGCTTCCGCTCCAATACTTGAATCTTCAAATATACGGGGGTAATTGCGATTTGGATACTTTCCACGTATTTGCCAGACATCAAAAAACGGTTTCCAGTCAATAAAAGGAATAATTTTTTCAAGGTCAATATTTTGGTAAGCCTTTGTGCCAGTGTAACTCGGTTTTGCTGAAAATATCATTTTATACTGGAGTAACTGAAAAAATGCTTTTACAAAAATAATGTCGTTTCTGGGATTCAAACGCTCCACTTTTTATCTAAAAGTAATTATACTACTACGTTTTACAGAGCTTCTAATCAATGCAATATCAGTTTCAAAACCGACATCATCTAAAACTGTAAAGAACGCCATTCTTTTGACCTAAAGAACAATACCATCTTTTCTCACAAGACCTGGTTGACAAAAAATAAACATTTGAGATCATATAACATACTAGGAACGTAATTACTATAGTCTATCATCAACTTCCGTTTGCGAGCTGTCTCAAGCGTGATAAATCTGCGTTCTCGTAATGATTCATAATACTCATTCCGTACTTCTTCGTACTCTTCCTTTATGCTTTCAATAAACTCTTCCCGAATCTTTTTGTCACATAATGAAGAACACTGCAATGAGAAAAAGGAACATTTTCAGCACTGCAGCAAACGCACTTACAATAGCAGAAAAAA